TTGATGGTAAAATGTTCTTGTCTACAGCCATTCCTGTCATCATCACAGCAATAATTCTGCAGACATTGACCAAGATGCTCTCAAACCAGCTAATGGATGTAGTGTCTTTGATAACATCAATTATCATGCACCAGATCCTGGGCCTTGCCAATGCTCCACCTCACTGACTCTTTGCCTTTAGCAGAACAACACCTTATTAGATGTAGTAGTATCTCACAATTAATGGTTTCATAATCTGGATCTGTCATGGTAAACAAGTAATTCCTGGTTAGAAACCATATGCAAAATGTAAGCATTAGGGCAATTGCTGCTGCTAGCTATTACTGTCTAATTAATCACCTACAATATACAGCATGCACCAAATGAATTAATTGTAATGATCTTTTGAAAAGGAAAACAGAAGTAGTCTATTATTTCTAAAAATGTGACCTGAATGTGGTAATTTACCACACAGCCACACTCCAGATGTAAGTGAGGCTGTATTTATTTCTTCTCTCATGCATCTGCTCTAATTACCTTGTGGCAGTGGTATAAACATCAGCTGAAGTGACTCACTTCTTGAAAATTTATTTTGGTTCTTCTTATAATTTTGGCCAGTTTGACCTCACCAGTTTGAAAATGCAAGTTATAATCCTCTGTAGGGATTTAGCCAGGTGTCCATTACAGCATGTAATCTGTGGTACAGCTTCCAGTATTCACGCTACAGAAGATTTAAGCCCCTCTGTATTTGTTCCTGAGTGAGAAAGTTCCCGAGGTCTTAACTGGGACAGGGAATATTGCAAGAAGCAACATGTTCATTCAAACCTGAGCCTGTGTGGGTGCCACTGACCTGTACAGGTGAGACACCACAGGCTTCACCTGAGCAGCAGCACTCAAACTTCAACCAGTGCTGCTGAACAGCAGCTGCAGCACTGCTGCTGGTCCCCTGGTTACATTCAGAGGTCACACTGCTGCTGGACATCTGTTTTTGGCCTAAATCCTCACCCTAGGGTCACTGTGCTGTTCCTGGAGAGACTTTTAGTAGGACTGACAGACTCTCAGCCCTGGCAGCCCCAGCCAGGGACACTTGCAGACCACCTCCAACAGCACTATAAAAGTTCAAGGTGGCTGCCACAAAGAGACATTACTGTGTGCTAAAACAAACTAAATCCAGCTAGTTGAGGGGAAACCTACTGGGACCAGTCAGCCCTACTCAGGAGCTTCTCAGGTAACTTTGCTTTTTCCAGCCAGGGCTGAATGTGATCAAGTAATGTGATATGCCCCATGTCCTCACTGCGCCTGCAAATCAGGTACCTCCTCCTGAAGCCAACACTTAGACTATATCAGTAGTTTCAGTAATATTTTCAATTCTATGACCAGCCAAAACCAAAATGAATAGCAGCTTAATTTGCCTGCCTGCAAGGAGCTATCTAATATCAATATTCCATTACTGTATAGGAAAATACCAGGTTTCTTTGAGGTGGTCATGGTTGTGGTGTTGGGAAAGACTCAGCTACCTTTTATGCTAATTGGCACTAAAGTGTAGAAGTATTTATCAGTATTTAATTATTTAGAACTCTCCTAATGGCTTAAATATAATTTTGAAAAGTTATAAATATTTTCCACCTTGTCCTACTGAAGAGCTGCTTCTTGGAAGGCTTAAATGAAGATCTATTTATGGCTGCCTGCTAGGCACAAAATTACTTAGAGATGCTAATGCTCTGGTCCTTCAGATGGCCCCAACACAGACTGAGCTTAGTTTTCACAAACTGAACAAAGTTTGTCTTTGTTGCATTCATTTTACTGAGACAAAAGTCTTAAAGAGGATTATCAAGAGATCAAGGCATTAAAATATGTAACTAATCCCAGTTAAATTAATTGTTTTCATAATAACATGTACTGAGGGACATTTGTGTAGAATAAGACCCTTTTAGACTGTTTTGGTAATGTAAGTATGACTTACCATGCAAATTACATTTAAGATTAATTAGAAGCAGTTGAAAGCCAAGTTGCTAGCAGAGAAAATGGGAACCTGATTCCAAGCCTCTGAAGCAATAATTATATTAAATATTTCAAAATTACATCAGCAATTGCTATGTGAGTAGACAGAGGGGAATTTACATAAACTCATAATTTCTATCCTCCTGTTAGAATTCAGGACACTTATTTTATTGGCTTATAATCATCTTCGATTTTTTTTTCCCTAATTTTCTTTTTCAAGCACTTGAACTCCCCACAGGTTATTTTGGTGTCATCAAATCATTCACCTCTTAAAAGAGAATTCTGTGTCATAAAATTAAAATAATAATTAAGTTTATTGGTGAGGAGATACCTGAAGCTTTTATTAGGATTCTCATTTGCAGGACTCAGTGTTTCAATGGCAGGTTGTGGCACCGCTGTTACCACTGGTAAGAGTTTCAGGTGCAGGACAGGATAGCACTGTGATTCTGACCAATTTCTCACAATGCTCTGCCATTAATTGGAATAGTCTCATCTTTCCCTAAAAAGCTCTGTGCACAGAGTTGTAGACTGCATTTCAGTTGCAAGCTAAGGCTACCAGCTCTCAATGTCATACTGTATTCACATTAGCTTGTGGGGTGTTTTAGAGCCTCTCTCCCTCTCTGTGTTAGCACTTCAGCTTTTCCTATAATGTAAAAGATAAAAGGCAAAGGGAGTAAAATAAATCAACAAATATAGGGAAAGAAACACTACATCCCATACAGCCTGGGTTAGCTGCTGGAAGTCATAAAACATGGTTCCTCCAGCATCCAGGGACTAAGGGATCAGAGTGGCTTTAGTTTTTAGCACAAAGAGTCACAACAGACTCAGCGGTTGCTTCTGGAGCAGGAAAATAAAGCCATCCCTCAGTAGTGCTTAATGCACCTGTCTGGCTGCACAGGAGCATTTATTTGTTGGGTTTTGATACCTGTGACTGCCCAGTGTAGTTGCTTTTGCCAAAACAAATGCTGAAGCATAAAGCATATAGATTAGAGGTACACAGATCTAAGTGACCAGATTTTTCTAGGCAACCTCAGACAGGTGTGAGTTATGCAATCTGAGAATCTTCTGATAAACTGATATTTACATATAGCCAAAGGATTCGGAACCTTACAGATTTCACAATATGTATATTTTCCCTGAGGGAAATAGGCTTCTGTAAGTTAGCACATTCCAGCATTTGTATCTGATATATTAAATGGAGCTTAAATATTTTAAAATTCTGTGTTTTCTCTCTTCTGCTTGAAACTTAATTTTCACTGTTTTATTCAAAAGGAAGGCATAGAAATAGCAACCATGAGCTTGAAATCAGAGCTGTAACAGATTACAGACAAAATTTTTCAGAGTATTTCCTGTTACAGCTGGTTTTCAAATAACTCTTTCTGTTGTGCAGTTTTTTTCCTAACTTCCAGTCCCAGTGAATCATTGTCTGTTTTAGCACTCAGCTGTATTAACAAGAAAGACAGAGAAAGAAAATAGCATTTTCCAACCCAGGTAAGAGGAAGTTGCCAGTGGGGAGGTCAAAGGGAGTGCAGAAGTTCTTTTGCTTGTGTTTCATGGGAGTATATCAAGGAGCAGAGCAGTGGCCAAGGTGGAAACTCATGTTTGAAACCTGTTTTCCACACTGGATAGCACTGAGTCACTTTATTGCCCTCAGGCTTTGAGATGGAGAGAAGTATAACTGCAATTATAAGAAAAGAAAAGGTTGATCAGCGTGCCAGGGCTTGTTCTCTTTTCAGGGCAGGTGCAGGGAACTCTGAATAATGACAATAACAGCTATATTAATGACCTCATCGAGCTCTGCTAGGTATATGTATGTGCATATTTTTCCCCAGCAGTGCTGACTATCAGTGAATAGAGACTTCCACAATCTGAGTGTCAGGGGGAGGGAAGGATACAGAGCAGCAGTTGCTTTCTGGAACAAACACAGAATGAAAAAGTAGCAAAATACTAACGTACTGTTGAAAGCTGAAATTAGATATACGTGATTCAGTGCAGCCTACAGGGTCTGATATCTTGGCAACTGCTGCAAGATATCCCCAATCTGCAGACAATATAGCCTTTGTGAAGAAACAGAAGATTGTAGTGTGAAAGTTAATGCATCAAAAGGCCAGAAAGAGACTAATTCACTTTCACCTTGCTTCAGAGGACAAGCAGCAGTAAAAGCTGTGCACTATTGGCAAGCTTTCTTTGTTGCTGTTTTTAACTCAACCCTCAGTTCAGAGCTCCAGCCACCTCGGCACTGCTCCAGCTGGAGCCACTGACATCTCCCACCTAATCAAGTGCTGGATTATCTTGTCCTGATAAATTGAACCTGGTGCCTCATAAAAAGTCTTTTCTGAAGTACTTTGGTACCCCGTAATAAGATGGCAGATACCTGAATCAAGTCCCAGAGCTGACAGAGCACTGTTTTTCTAATGGCTTTTGGTTGCAAGTGTAAATGTTTGAAGGCAAGGCAGTGTTGAGCTGGGAGCACAAGTTAAGCATGATACATTTCTCACCTGGGTGAAAGGAAACTTGAAATTGTACTGAATACTGGCTCATACTGAGTACACACAGGTTGCACTGCTAACAAAATGCACTTGCCCTAAGAATTAGTGCTTTTTTGGACAGAGCTCTGAGGAACATGCTTGTTTCAAAAATATATTCTCTTTGGCTTCTGCATCTTTCTAAGAAGAGTTGGAGTTATTGAGCTATTAAAGACTTGCATACTGTTCCTAATCTTCTGTGACTCAATCCCTGGTCCAAGTTGTTCACGTTAAATTAGCTTGTTTCTTTCTTCAACATATACTAAGAAAAATGTCTATGGTGTAGACACAAGGATGCCCTCTATGTTGTGTTTGTAGTTCAACTGGTAAAACAGCCAGGATGAATCTCATTAAGATAAAGTTTTACTTGCAAGCATTTGTTTTTTTCTTTCTTGGCTTCCCTCCTGGAGAAAAGCAGTCCTCAGTCAAGAAACATCTTGTGTATCACACTCACCTCTGTGGTGCCCCTTGTAACACTGCTTTGCTCTTTTCCAGGGGAATCCCTACATGTGCAATAATGAATGTGATGCAAGTACCCAAGAACTGGCTCATCCTCCAGAACTGATGTTCGATCTGGAAGGAAGACATCCCTCCACATTTTGGCAGTCCACAACTTGGAAGGACTATCCGAAGCCTCTTCATGTTAATATTACACTCTCCTGGAACAAAACCATTGAGCTTACAGATAACATAGTTATCACCTTTGAATCTGGCCGTCCAGACCAAATGATTCTGGAGAAATCACTCGACTATGGACGAACGTGGCAGCCCTACCAATACTATGCCACTGACTGCTTAGATGCTTTTCACATGGATCCAAAATCAGTGAGGGATTTATCACAGCACACAGTCCTGGAAATCATTTGCACAGAGGAATATTCTACCGGGTACATGACAAATAGTAAAATAATCCACTTCGAAATTAAAGATAGATTTGCTTTTTTTGCTGGACCTCGGCTTCATAACATGGCTTCTCTTTATGGCCAGCTTGACACCACCAAGAAGTTAAGAGATTTCTTTACCATCACAGATCTGAGGATAAGACTGCTTAGGCCAGCAACTGGTGAAATATATGTAGATGAGCAACACCTGGCACGCTACTTTTATGCAATTTCAGACATAAGGGTATACGGAAGGTAAGAAAATATATATCTTTAAAAACAGGTGTCCGTGATTGATTTGAGAAAGTATTCACAACTGATCATTTCCCCAAAGAAGATGATATTTTCTGCCAATGGTCATTGGAAATCTGTCTCAGCTGAAAGCCATTGCTGTCATACCAGAAGTTTCTGACTCAGTGGCACAAGGTCTGGGCGTTTGCTGGCACCTTGGATCTTGAGCCCTGGGTTTCACAGGTAGGATGGTTCATGTGTGGGCTCAGGAATTCACCCTTGCAGTGGGTCAGTTTCTCCTCTTAGGTAGCTGGAGTCTGATCCAGTGGCAGTTAACTAAAAACAGAGATTCTGTTTTATCATTTGACCTTTCCAGGCCTCTCATGTGAGCTGTGATTGATACAGCAGCCCTTGCACAAACCCCTCCCACTAGGTCTGGCTATGAACAAGGAAAGGAGTGCAGATTAGAGCCCATTCATTCTACTTTAATTAGCTCTGAAATGCAGAGAAGCTGAATAAAAATGGAAAAAACCTAACAGTCTTTTAGATAGACTGATTTGAGTATAACAAAGATGATTATTCAGCTGGGTTCAAGAGAAATGGTTCACTTTAGGGCAAGTGGTGGCTGGTATCAAGTGCTGTAGTCCCAAAAATAATAACTGTAATGACATTCCTATCAGGAAATTTTGTTCCCAACTCAAACTAGCAATTGACTGATGCCCTCAAGCAGGAGGATGATCCCTTTGTATGGGTCTTGGATTCCAAGTTGTTCAGAAGAAATAAATGGGATCACCTCTATTAGCAATTCACTTACTAGTCCAATATACCTTTTGTTCCTTCTCTGTTTCTCCTGTACAGGGCTTAAGACTTCCTTTTTAAAATAAACTTTTTTTTTTTTTCTCTAAGAGAATCTAAGTAACAAAACAGACAGAAAAGCTAATCTATCTTGGAAGGCCAGGGACTTTCTATGCACACTCAGAACTGAGTGAAAAAAATAGAAATAGTGATTATATAAAACAGTGCTCACTATATTTTTTATTATTCCTATGATAATGATAAAAATCATCAAAATACATTTCTTAGGACTGCAGATTTAACATGCAGTTAACATGCAGTCTTCTGTGTCCACACCAAGTATATATCCATACATACAGAATTACTAGTCCACATTTGAAAATCTAAAATAAATTAATGAATTCAAGAATTCTACTTGCAATTCTTGTTAGTTACATTGTAAATTATTTTTCAGAAGTCTCTTGGGAGGGCTAAGTGGATCATGAACAGATTAAGATACTGTTTGAAATAGTTTGGTAAAATTAGCCCCAATATAAAATATAACACCTATTTAATGTGTATATTTTCTCCACTGGGCTCCCTCCACATAGGTTAGCTCTACTGAGGCATCATATCAAAGCTCAGGATTTGTAGGTCCTTAGGCTTTAAGGAAAGCCTGTTCCCCATCTGAAAACCCATTTGGAGCTTAGTCTGACTTCAGTTAGATTATCATTACTTTATCAAAGAAAGCATCTGAAGGATTAAAAAAGAGTGCATTGCATGCAAATTAGAAACAGAAACCTTCTGAGCACATCTGGGGCTCACCAATCTTGTGAAAAATTATCTGTAGAAATGAAGCGTGACCGTACAGAGAATTTATCTGATGCTGATGCTTGTTGTCTAAATGCTGCATAATTGGACACGTGCTTTAAAGGAAGTATCTGATGTGTAATGTTCCTCACTAGATTAGATTCATGTGAATTCTTATCACTTTTCTGCTAATGAGAAGAACAGCTCTTTTGGGATTTGGTGCCATTTCCTTCAATATCTAGTGAGCCTTCCTTGTTAAAGTCTTTAGGGCTTGCTTGCTGCTGAGCAGCTGTGGGGCTGCAATACACAGCCCCTGGTTGTTTAGTTTCACCAGTTGTAACTTGCAATGAGCCCACTGTTGCCTAGTTTTAGGTATTTTTTATCTCTTCCAGAAACTTTATGGCCTCTCCCCATTAGAGTCTCCCAGTCAACATTCCCAGCATCTGCCCTGGCATGCCCCAAACATGGGAACCAGTGGAGGGAAGCAATGGTTACAGGGTAGTTGTGCCATTGTTTCCAGTTCAGCTGAGCTTTCCAGCTCTTGCTCCTTAATTTATAATGTTAACTGGAAATTGTTACAAAATTATTTTGTTTTGCTACCAAGATTCATATTCTGGGCTTTGAGACCAAGCTAGTTATATAAATTGGTAAGACTATACTAGATTATTCCATGAAGACAGGATACAAAGGGAAGCTAACAAGGAGCTTGTCGTGTAGTGGACGAGGGATGCTGGCAGCCACTTTAAAGCTAATCCTTTTTCTAAAAAACATAACCTGTAGGTTAAGATAGTTAAAATCACCAAAGCTCATAATAGCATATTTCTAACGGCAGCATAAAATATAATTTGTTTCACACTGTGTTTTAAGCATCAATGACAGTGAAAAGCATCTATCTTAAAGCCACTATGCTAAATATACAGGACTGTGTGGTAGTTAATAGTTCACAATGAATTATAGGCAGGAGATTTGCCCACTTAATATAGGTTTGTTTTGTCATTGCTTTGCATTTTAGTGTGAAATAAGTCTGATGTATGTTGCATTAGAGATGAAAACCTGTGTAGTCTCAATGAATGCCTTTCCTCCTCTATTACCACCTGTTTATTCTTTTTCAATTTACCACTTCCATTGTGTATTTATTAAGGTGATGAAAAAAGGAAACGTGGCTGTTAGCAATTTCAGCAACCCCATTGTGCTCCCGTTATTCAAGAAACCTAATAATCCACAAGAACTAATTCTGACTTACTGATGGTCCGCTTCACTAAATCAGGGTGATTTTTTCTCCTGAATAATGGACGATGCAGTATGCCAGTACCTTAATTAAAGAGAGCCTCTCTTATTCTTGATCTTATTTTAATTTACAGGGTAATACTACAATAATATCACTAATGGAAGGTACATTAAAGGGCATAAAGTAGCATTAACTGTATTAAATTATGGCACTTGTGTTAATTAACTGCTGAAGCAAGATGGTCCTAACAGCTAGAAAGGTCAACTAATGCATAAATAAAGTCTTCTGGGATGGGAAGCTAAGAAAGAGCAGACATTTTCCCCTCATCTGGCCTTGCTGCAGAGGATCAGAGGGTGTCCTGTGCTGCACCCTCAGGAAGGTTTCTTTCACTGTGCTGCCTGCAGAGGTGGCCTGACCTGTCTGCAGGCTCTACCTGTCTTCAATTCCACATGAAGGACAGTCCTGGCAGTAAGCAGTGAGGTACAGCTCCCAGTTTTAAACCTATTTCTGTAGGAGTTCACTAAAATGCTGATAATAATTCCTTTGAAGTCAAGCTCAAGGTTCCTAGCAGATTTTGGATCAGACTGCTGAAGGTTTAACCATGTTAATTTTAAAGTATTTTTGCTCTGTTATATTGTCAGTGACACATACATTTATACACTGTAAATTAACTGTAATTCGGGATGCTTGTAAAAACCGTGGTCCCAGTGGGTAACAGAATGACTGGCTGGGTAAAACAAAGGCTCTTATTGCTTTTGAATGATTAGGTTTTGATCTAAGAGGCACCAGTTTCTTTCTGACACCAGAATATCCAGTCTCTGCACAATGTTATTAAACCCTCTGGAATTTATTTTTATACTCCTCTCGCCTTGAAGCTTCTGTATTTAAGCCCCAGGGTTTTCTGACTGCATCTCAGCTGTGGTTGCAGTCCCAGCTGCAATAGAAACCTCTAACTTGCAATACACAAATGAAAAGTAACCTTAGTTTTAACAGTTCCTTGCTTTTACATTATCTATTCAGAATTCAAATCCATCTCAGCATCTGAATAAATTAATCTGAAGGAAAATATATTTGCTACTTAGGGGGTTAGGGCTTTTTTGCCTCCTTGGTCAGCCTGCCACTCCCATCATCTGTGAGGCTGAACTGCTCCTGAGGCTGTGCTGGATTTGGGGTTGGTGAGGGCCCCTGCCCTGAGTGGGAGCTCACCCTGCAGCTTCAGGCAGGAGGTTCCAGCAGGCAGGCTGGGCTGTACTGGGTCCCATCCTCTGGCTTATTCTGCAGGTGCAGTCTGTGGGTGGATTAATTGGAGTAAATCTCTATGTTACTCTGTCATACCACTTGCCAACACTATATGATATTGTCCTTCTGTAATTTACCCAAAGCAGAACTTTGCCCTAGGGAATTATAATATATAGAAATGCTGTAGTTTCATTTATAATAAAAAATGTTTTAATTGATGTTCAGCTTAGAACCAGACCATCAATATTAAGATATGTAGGCTTCAAGCTTTTAAGCAGACAACTGAATAACATTCTTGACTCTAGTATTTATTTACCAAACTTGAATACTCTTTGTTTTACAGGAACACTTGCATAAGCAGCTTTTCTCCTTTGAGATTTTCACTAGTATTTGAAGGGAATCTAGCAATTTCTCTGATTAAATTATAAACTCATTAGAGAACAGGAAAAAAAATGAAACATGTATTTAAGAGCATGTCAACTGATCTGTAAGTCCCAAGTGCAATTTTTGCTTTTTTAATATATCTACTGTAATATGTCACTAAGGAAAATGGTCCTTCATTTTCTGTAAGCAAATCTAGGATCATCAGAAACTGAAATAATTAAATGGTCATGGTGTTTATTCACACATGAGCAGGGGTTTACTCAGTACAGGTGTCCTGGGTGGGTTTTACTCCTGCCTGTGTTCAGACAAGAGTGATTTCTACGCTCCATCCTGATGACACAAGTCCTGTCCATCAGCTCAGTGTGGCCTCAGTCACAGTGGCTGGGAGGGGAGCAGAGCAGTGGAGTCTGAATGCTGTCTAGGACCCTCATCCTGCTACGTGCTTTTGAAATCAATCAATGGGTTTAAATCACCAGGTTTCACTCACCACCTTTGCTCATTAGCATCTGGTCATCTTTTCTTTTTTGCAAGACATCAAGCATTTCCCTACTGATCTCCCCCAGCTGTCTTTCAAGGAAGCTCAGTATCA